GTCGGAGGGAGGGAGGGAGGGAGAGAGAGAACGAATCTTCCCGCTTTCTTGCGAAGGATTTGTTCTAGTTTTCTTCATTTCAAACGACACACATTTTGAGAGAAAGAGAGACACACACACATTAATCTCTCTCTCTCTCTCTCTCTCTCTCTCTCTCTCTCTCTCTCTCTGTGTTTTCTCTCTGTTTCTCTCTGTTTCTCTCTCTCTCTCTCTCTGTTTGTGTGTGTGTGTGTGTTTTTGCATACTCGCGTACAGGTGTATGTTATGTGTGTGTGTGTGGTGGTTCTTTGTGTTTTGACCATTGCTCTTGAGCAGTTCCAATCAAATTTCAGAGATGATGAGATAAGGGCCCGTTACCCTTCACTATTGCTGTTCCCTCACAATCTTGGTGGAGGGGTTTTGACATTTGCCTTTCGCCGTTCAGTGCGCCAAGATGTGAACACTGAACATACAGATCATCTGCAACTAGTGTCCCCCCCTGCAGGAAGGCCTTTTTTCAGTCCTTCAGGATGACAACCACTCGTCTTCCCAATTCTCAAGAAGCCTCCTTTTATATGTGGGTGCATCTCTGTGCACTTGCACGAGAAGGCGCAAGTGCTGGGTATGCGAGTGTGTATGGATGGATGTGTGTAGGAGTGTGTTCACCACGTCTGCACATTCACACACGTCTATGTGTACATAGAGGTGGCATGGTCGCAGGTAAACAAAAAAACAAAGAAAACAAAACATCAAAAAAAAAAACAAAAAAAAAAACACAGGTGGAGGTGTATGTGTACTTGTGTGTGTGGAAGGTCCTTGTTAGTGGTGGGTTTGGACTCTCGAGGCCCATTATGATCTGCCGTGGTGGACTAATCTTTTTCAAATTTCAAAGTGATTTTGGCAAAATTTCACGACAAACACTTCACTGTACTGTACTAGACGGCGCTGCCTGTTGCAGCGCTTAGGGCGTAAGGAAGGGTGTCGAGTTAAGAATGTATCGGACATTGTTTCCCTCTTTGCATCTGGTGATGAGGTGATCTCGCTGCCTATTGCAGCACTTAGGGTGCATCGATGTCGAGTTTGGAATGTCTCTGGCATTTTTCCGTTCTCTTTGCATCTAGTGATGAGGTGGGGTGAAAGGACATTTTTTCTCTTCCTTTCTGATGGAAGATGGGGAAAGAACATTGTTTCCTTGTGTCTATGGTAAACTCTCTCTCTCTCTCTCTCTCTCTCTCTCTCTCTCTCTCTCTCTCTCTCTCTC